AAATTCGATTTTAAACATCTACATGACCAAATCGAAGCAAAAGGATTGGCGGATTGGCCGAAAACTGCGAGCAAAGCCTGACGGCACCGTCACAGAAAAAAACAAAAATCTCCTTCAATGAGGCCCTTCCCGATTCCCGTTTTGCGCAATTCTTCCACTATTATAATCACCATTCCTTTTTCTATAAATTGATCGAAGCAAAACACCCGACCGCAAAGGTGAAGCGGTGGATTTGTTGCACCAGAGAACTCCACTGCCAGTAAACTTTGATTTTTTGATTTTTTTTTTGCCAACAAATGCATCTTAACAGGTTTTTTTGCAGGGATGGGTATAAATCTGGCCGAAATCAGCCGAAAACTGTCAACTCGAGGCAAACCGTCGTTGCGGGCAGCGGTACCGTCGTCGAAGCACGTCGGAGCTGCTGTGCCGAAATTATAGAATTGGCCAAAAAAGGTTTTTAATACTGATTTTAGATTATTTTTTGGGTATTTCTAGGTACTTGAAGCACGTTCTAATCCCCAAAAGAAAAATTCATGGAACTCAAGGACCGCCAGTAGGCGCAGTCAAAAGTTTAACATTTCAAACATTAATTTGAGTAAGAATCCATCACCTTATTCATTGTTATGGAATTGAAGTTTAATTATAAATAATACAGTATTTTACGTAATTTAAAAATATCCATAATTAATTAAAGGTTACTAATGGAGACGGAACCAGTTATTTACTACTGTTTGTTGTATTTAGTTGATTGGTTGATTTTACTATTTCAAATGCATGATAATACACTGTAATTGGTATGATGATGCAACTACGTTTTCTTGATACATCTATGGCTTGTTTTATGTGATTACAGTTCAATTGAAAAATTGAAAATTAAAGGTAAACAAGAAATTATTTGATCAAGTGAATGGATGAACGATAGCTTTACTAGATATCCTAGGAGATGGTGGATGGACCGGGTACACAAAGAACCCTACCGTAAATATTGCCTCATATCGGACGAGGTATTGATAATTGGTAATTTGACACTCATACCGGACGGGGTATGAGGATGACCCGTTTCACCCTCATGCAGAACAGGGTATTGAGGGATGGTATCTTTTGGCGCTCATACCGGACGGGGTATGAGGACGACCTGTTATTTGAAATATTGAATAAAAGTTTACGCGTAGTGGAGACATCTCTATGAACCTCCATGGATACTAGTAGGCTGATAAAAGATAAAGTTGTTGTTCTGACTGATTGAATACAATATTTGGATATTATTTATTTTATTGACTCTATAGATGGTTTTTTTTTTTTAAAAAAAAAAATCTCGTTACGGTAAGTATGCGGTAAATGATTTTATTTATGATAAACGAATTTACGTAAATTAAGAGGTCCATTAATTGTTTTTATAATTTCTACCAACCTTCATTTCTGTATCGGCGAATAGCGTAATATTTTTACTGAGTTAGTGTAACTCACTTTTTCATTAACCATTTCAGATTTAAAAAATCAGAATCCAGAACTCGATCCACAAGAGGGCTGGGAGTAGGACGTTCAGTTTTTTTTTTTTTACTTTTCATTTATTTATTTGATTATTGATTGTTTTTTTAAATAGTTATTCTCGCAACCCTATTTAGTACTTTAAGTTATTGTGTAAGAAATGTAAACCCTAACTATTTATTTCACTTCCACACTAAATTTATAATTTACCTCATTTGGAATTTTCGAGATCGTTACAATATTAATAAATGATGGTCATGTCATTACAAAGAATTTACATCTAACTTACAGATTATATTTAGTTTAATAGACTTAGTTTACAATATATCTAATTTACAATAAATAACTATATATTTAGTTTTAACAGACCAGCTAATGGGAACTAGTTTACAATACAATCAAGCAAACTACCTCTATCAAGATCGGTGGTTACATCGGCACTTGCGAGTCATAAGTATCTGGCTCTACCATTGTGCTAGTTTCCATCTTCCTGTATCTTGCTGCAAAACTATATGTTGTGTCCCATCTGCTCACATAGAAAACAATGTGGTGGGAGACACTCGTACCAAAATATGACCATGATATTTATTAGAATTCTTCTGGGTATTAGGTTGTCTAACATCCAAAGACATTTTCACCGGCAAAAAGTGTCCTTTTCTCCCACTACTTACATTGGATCACCCATGTAGAAAAAGATATAGGGAAAGGATAAAGAAAATGGGCCAAAGTCAACCGAACCCATGCTTTTCCTTTTTCTTCCCTTCTCCTTTCCTATATCCTTATCTGTTTTCCACTTGGGTCAGGCCTAAAAAGGATTCAGCCCTTTTTCCTTTTCTTTTCTTTCCCTCCATTTTTCATTTCTTTCCTTGGGCCTAATGTGTTGCCAGGGTTGAGAAAGCCCAACTACGCCGTCGTTGGGGTAAAGTAATTAATGCTCTCCTTAAAACGCCACCGTTTTAGGGGAAGGCATTTTAAACCTTCCTCGTTCGTCTTCGTCGACAGACTTTGTTTTTTTCTGCCAGCTTCTTTTGCAGGTGGGAGGGGGCATGTGGAGCTTTTGTGATGATGACGACGAACGCTAATGGGTGATGATGAAGATGAAGTTTGACTTGCGGTTTTCTTCATCAAAGGAAGCTGCAGTAGAAAAAGCCATGAAAGGAAAACTAGCAACACTTATATCAGACTCTTACCAAAAAATACAAAAGTCTCATAAGGCCACAATCAAATAGAAAGACAAAATAGATAGACCAGTCCCAAGCATTCGAGAACAGAATAAGCTTTTAATCGTATGCGACTTAGCAAAAACCCTATTTATATGTAAAAGTTTTTTTAAAATTATATTTTGTAATGTAGTACATAGCATAAATTTAACAGCATATAATCTATATAATTAAATTTAAAAATTAAAACTAAGGCTCCATTTAAAACAATATGTATACTATTTTTAGAAAGAATACTGTAAATACTTACAATCATATGGATGATACCATTGTCTTTTTTTTTTTTCAAAGAAAATAAATGTTTATTTTCTTAGTTATGATTGTTTTTATACTTTAACATTTAATTTCGGTAAGAGATTGTTTAAATATTATATTTTGTGAAATTATTAAAAAATCATGAATTAATTTTCTGACCTACATTTTAATGACTCGTAATCTAAATAAAATCAATAGTGTTTAATTGTATTAAATCATTTAAAAGTATGTAATAGTTCATTTTAAAAAATACAGCACATTCCATTCCTAACTTTATTACAAATACTTACATCATCTCATCATACACCTACATTCTCAAAATTAGATAAATTTTTTGAGTTTGTAAACATAATCTCAATACTTTTATACACTATATGACCTCTGCATGAGTCAAGGGTCTAGTAATTACTTTAACTGATTTAAATCTAATTGTAAAATTTTCTACTCTGAAAGAATACAACGGGATAAGCTACACATACTCAGTAAGAATTATTTAACAAGATAATCTACAAATTGTCATTCGTATAGGTGGACATTCCTGTAATCTACTCCCAAGAGCATCTAAATTTATATTTCCTTTAATTTCTTAAAAGTTTGTGTGCTTTCTTTGTAATTACCTAAATGTGTTAGTGTCAAATCTAATATTTTCAATATTATTGCTCATTTACATTTATTCCACCTAATAATTAAATTTTTTTATTGGGATATCAAATAATATAGAATTATTATAAGTTTCAGATTTTCAATTATTATACTCACCCTATAATTTATTCTCACTTCTCTCCTAATAAACACAACAATCTTAGTGTTAAGAACTTGCAAATGTAAATAACTATTTAACATACCCTTCATCTCTTGTATTACAAATGAATATTAGTGTCTCATCGTACGATGTCGTTTACATTATTATCAAGATGGAATATCCAATACTACCATTAACACGTGGACACAAATCACCAATAAATGTCAATGGAAACTATACGATACTACCAACAGAAGAGGCTCACACTCGACCGTAACAACCACACACACACCCGCCCCTCTGCTCACCTAGTATGATACAATATATTACACGCTCTATGGGACGAACTCACCACTCGACCGCAGCTAGCCATACACACAAACATTACTACCCTAAAAACACAACCATTGCAGTCATTAATTATATTCTCACTAATACAAAATGACTAAAAACATAATTATATTCGTATAAAATCACACAATAAGTATAATGTACATTACCAGCAATAATCTCTCTTGTCTACGTAAAAAAAGTTTCATCAATCATATCGACCATATCATGACCACCACACGGACACAACCCTCATTGATAAATGATTAAATGGTATACCAATTTAAACATATCACATTCTCACAACTTATGTTTTATTTTTCATCTCACTTTACTTGCATTTTCTTAATATCTTTCTAAATCCTCCTTCCATGAACCCTCATTTTGTATTCGTTTATTTATTTTATGTTATTTAACTAATGCTTCCTTTCTTCCTTTCTTCCGTATACTTTTCTGTTTAAATTTTGCAATACCCTTATCATTCCTACTATTGTCTTATTCTAAATATCTCATAATACTCTTTATTTACTTCTAATTAATTTTATCTATCTCTTGTTTAGTCTTAAATTGTATTTTTGTAACAATCGTTGCCTAAAGAATATGCATGAGGCTTCATTGCATATAATGTTCCTTGTTATTGTCTATCTAACATTTTATCATCATTGCCAACCTTTTTATGTACCAAGGCCCAAACCTACTGTCAAATTTAAAACTAGTCAAGTCCAATATATATATATATATATATATATTAACCCATTTTAAATCATCCTTTCCATTAGTTTTGAATTCTTTGGGCTACTAGCCCACTGTCCCTGTTCTAAGCCACTTTTCTTTTATTTTTACTGGACTTCAATTTTGACACAACTCATTTTTCCGTTATTAGCCTGGCCCATTTGTCATGTTATTCTTAAATTTTATCTTGGATCCAGGCCCACATATAGATCCATTTTCTTACTTGTCACTCGGCTAAGTCAAATTAATGTTCACTGTTTTTAAAGGGTTTTTTTAGCTTTATAAAGTGAATTAAGTTTATTCGTTTGGGCTTTTCGAAAATAGGCCCTCTTATTTCTTGGACTCGGCCCACTCATTTTTTTAAAGGATCCTGGACTTCCTGCTAGGTCAGGATTACTTCCCCATGTTTAGCCCGTTTGCGATTCGGCTAAAGCCCACTATCAATCCCAAACTCAGCTCACTGGGAGCCCAAAACTAAACCCAGAGCCCGACCCCTTGGAGTCTTCTCCTTCGCCGCTCTATTGGTTTCCCAAACCATCGTCCTCACCGACTACTCCTGGTTCTTTCTATTCGCATGAGATTCCAATGAAGATCACAATTGATATACATCCTAATAACGACAATAATAAATCCCCTACCTCTTCTGATTTCAATTTTATCGTACCATTCAATTAAAACATGATTTAGATTGCACTAATCACGATCTATGTTAGCAGGTTAGATGAAACTCACACTAGGGTCTCGGTTAGGTGTTTTGTTCGTGGTGGTGTTGGCTCCTCTCTACCGTGACCTGCAAGCACGTACTAGGTTGGAAAGAATGGATTCCCTAAACACCACTAGCTCATAGATTCTAAATGAATATACCCTTACCGGACGAAAAGATGCTCTCCGGTCGAGGTGATGCCGGAGTCCGTCGCACTCTTCCTTACGCGTCACCTTCTCTCTCCCCGATCAACCCCTCATCTCGGGGCTCCCTCTCTCTTCGTGTCTCTCGGCCTGCGGTTTTCCCTCTCCTAGGGTTTTGACTCAATGCAAGAACGTTATTTATTTGGGGCAGGGGTGGAGGAGAGCCGTTTGATCTAGGGATAGTCCTACAGCCGTCCGATTTATGTCTCTCATTAAGGGTAACTTGACATTTCCTGTGCGTTACATGCCTACTGAAGCATCGTCATAAATTTCGAAGATCCTCCCTACATATGATCATTTTTTAGTTTCATTTTCATGTAGTAACTTCTTTTCTTTTGACTTATTGTCTTCTAATCCTGATCTGACCTTCACATATAAATAGAGTTGA